TTTATTTTCTTGCTTTTTCAGTGAATTGGCTTTTGACTTTATTGATCTAGTTTTCAGTTTTTGTTGCGTTTTTCTATTTCATTTATTTATGTTTTAATCATTATTCTTCTGTTATGTTCCTTCTATATGGCTTTCCAAGGAATGCATAGTAGCCTATAAATTTTCCTCAGGATATCATTTTGGCTAAACCACACGTTGGATAGCTGCTGCTCTACTGCTGGGTTTTGCTTATTCATACTTTCTTACTTCCTCGTTGACAGGAGTATTTTAGAAGTGTTTTGTTTGATTTTAAAATGTCTAGGTCATTTGATTTGTTTTTTCTTAGCTGTCCATTGTTATTTTCCAATTTTATTGAGTTGTGATCTTTGAATGAGTCCTGTGTCAATTCTGTTTTTTGAAATTTATTAGTAATTCCTTTATGATATGATAATGGCTGAATTGAGGGACTGTGTTTGAAAAGAATGTGCTTGGGCACAAAGCTTTGTATCTGTTTACTAATTAAAGTTTGTTAGCCCAATCATATCCTTTATGTGTTTATTTTTGAGAGGAAGTTAAAGTTTTCTGTTGTGATTGTGCTTTTGTCCATTTCTTATATTTCTGTATATTTTTTGCTTTGTGTTTTGTATACATAAAGGTCCATCATTTTAGCTTCCTTATCAATGCAAAATATATCCTACTTTATCCCACTCAACTTTTTTTTTTTTTCACTTGGTTTTTTTTTTTTTTTTTTTTTTTTTTTTTTTTTTTTTTTTTTTTTTTGGTCTGTGTGTTGTGACGTTGCCATTCCTCCTTTTGTTATCATTTACCTGGTATTACAGTTTTATGTTTAACCTCCATCTGTCATTATGTTTTCGGTATATGACTTATAAACAGCACTTAGCTGGATTTTTTTTTTTTTTTAATTTTACTAAGATTTCTTTTAATAGGTGTATGTTGTAGTTTGTCCCAATAAACTACTGGATATGTTTGAACTTTTCCTGCCATTTTTTTTTTCTATTTGCCATGCATTCCAGTTTCTGTTTTTCATTCCTTTTCTGTCTTTTGATGGACTAATTTGAGATGTCTTGTTCCTTTTTTTTTTTTTTTTTTTCTTTTTCTCTAGTGGTTTGGAACCTATATACACGTTGTATTTTAAGTGTGTTTGAATTGTCTTTAGTATACCTAGGAAATTTTATCAGACATACAGTTGTCAATTCAGGGTCTGGAACATGAGAGAGAAATTGGTTTGGGGATATAGTTTTAAAACTATTGCCCTGAGAGTTGAATCGATGGTGGTATTTACTATCACCCAGGGAAGTCATGGAGAACAGACACTGCCACCTAGCACGAAGGACTAAATATAGGATCAGGTGGAAAGTGATAGCAAAGAATGGAAGAGAAGCCAGTAAAAGAGATGGAGAAGAAATTGTTTAAAAGACAGGAGGTCAACTTTGAGAAAGTGGTATCTCCAAACCCACAAGAGGAGAGTTTCACAAAAATGATAGAGAACAGTGCCACTTGCTACAAAGATATTAAGTATCATGAGGTTGTCGATGGCCTTTGGAAAGATGGTTTCCAGGTGATTGGTAGTCTTCATAGAAGCTAAATAATCATGAGTTGAGGGATAGGCATTGGAAGTAGAGGCATAGAAATAAGGACTTCTCTTTTATGGGGTTGCTAAGGGAAAGGTAAAAGGGAAGTTGTATCATTGCTTCAAGGAGACGTGGGACAGAGGAAATGCTTCCTTTGGTATGGACTGCGTATATCCACAATGTGCAAATAGATAAGAAGTGAGAATGACTGTTAAGGCAGATTTCTTCCTCAGGGCTTTCTAAGTGGCAGTGTCCACCAAAGCTGGAGATTCTCATTGGATGTACCCATAGTATTTCCATGGGTAATCATGTTGTCATAAAGCCTATACTTGCAGGAATGTGAATATGTAACCTTTCTAGAAGATTCTACTATTTTATATATCTTTCTAGCATGAGCACTGAATAGACTTAATGGTCTTCTTGGGAGAGAATTAGTTCAGAGTCATGGCCCTTTGTCCTTCAGAAACATTCACCTGTTTACCTACTAGTGATGTAATATTTTAGAATATCTTCTGAATACAAATGGATGGTAAATTCCTGATGATTTGGAGCTTTGGAGGGCAGGGAGACCTCAGCTGTGGTATTTGATCTAGGCCAATGAACTAACTATAGGTGTCCCTCAAGTCACCAGATGGATTCAGATGTATTTTTTTAGATATGGCTGTTGAGATAGACTCATGGTCCAGACTTTCACTGCCCAAAATTCAGAAACCAAATTGGTTCAGGTAATAACCTTACCGTGCTTTATCAACTGAATTGGTTATCCAAACTCTTGCTATCCAAACTTGCATTTGAATGATTTGAATAGTAAAGGATTATTGTTGCTAGGTACCATTGAGTCAGTTCCAACTCATAGCAACCCTTTGTACAACAGAACAAAACACTGCCTGGTCCTGTGCCATCCTCATAATCGTTGCTATGTTTGAGCCGATTGTTGCAGCCACTGTGTCAGTCCATCTCATTGAGGGTTTTCCTCTTTTTTACTGACCCTCTACTTTACCAAGCATGATGTCCTTCTCCAGGGACTGGTCCCCCTGATAACATATCCAAAGTACGTGAGATGAGGTCTCACCATCCTTGCTTCTGAGGAGCATTCTGACTGTACTTCTTCCAAGACAGATTTGTTTGTTCTTCTGGCAGTCCATAGTATGTTCAATATTCTTTACCAACACCATAATTCAAAGGTATCAATTCTTCTTCGGTCTTTCTTACTCATTGTCATATGAGGCAATTGAAAATACCATGGCTTGAGTCAGGCATACTTTTGTCCTCAAAGTGACATCTTTGCTTTTTAACACTTCCAGATCTTTTGCAGCATATTTGCCCAATGCAATATGTCCTTTGATTTCTTGACTGCTGCTTCCATGAGCGTTGATTGTGGATCCAAGTAAAATGAAATCCTTGATAACTTAAATCTTTTCTCCATTTATCATGATGTTGCTTATTGGTCCAGTTGTAAGGATTTTTGTTTTCTTTATGTTGAGGTGTAATCCATAATGAAGGCTATAGTCTTTGATCTTCATCAGTAAGAGGTTCAAGTCTTCTTCACTTTCAGTGAGCAAGGTTGTGCCATCTGCATAACGCAGGTTGTTAATGAGTCTTCCTCCAGTCCTGATGCCCCGTTCTTCTTCATATAGTCCAGCTTCTTGAATTGTTTGCTCAGCACACAGATTGAATAAGTATAGTGTAAGGATACAACCCTGACATGCACCTTTCCTAATTTTAAACCACACAGTATCCCTTTGTTCTGTCTGAAAGACTACTACCTTTTCAGCTATGTGTAGGTTCCGCATGAGCACGATTAAGTGTTCTGGAATTCCCATTCTTCGCAGTGTTATCCATAATTTGTTATGACCCACACAGTTGAAGGCCTTTTCATAGTCAATAAAACACAAGGAAACATCTTTCTGGTATTCTTTGCTTTCAGCCAAGATCCATGTGACATCAGCAATGATATCCCTCATTCCATGTCCTCTTCTGAATCCAGTTTGAATTTCTGCCAGTTCCCTGTCCATGTACTGCTGCAACCATTTTTGAATTATCTTAAGCAAAATTTTACTTGGGTGTGATGTTAATGATATTGTTTGATAATTTCCACCTTCTGTTGGATCACCTTTCTTTGGAGTGGGCATGTGATGGTTAAGATCATGTGTCAACTTGGCTGGGCCATGATTCTCAGTGTTTATATGTGATCACTCGCATGATGGAATCTGCTGTGAAAGGGAGTTTCCTTGGTGGTGTGGCCTGCATCCAAATATAAGCAGATGTTTTGGCTTTTTGCTTGCTTTGGATCCTGCAGCTGCCTCCTGTTGGTCTGACTTCCGGTTCTTGGGACTTGAGCTATCAGCTTATCTGCCAGTCTTGGGATTCCTTGATGTTCACAGCCTGCGAGCGGGAGCCGTGCTCTCCGACCTGCCGATCTTGGGTTCGCCAGCCCCTGTGGCTGTGTGAATCGAGAGAAGCTTCTATCCTGATCCACGGACTTTGGACATTCCAGCCTCTATAATCATGTGAGCTGTTTCCTTGATATAAATTTCTCTGTATATATTTATACGCTTTACTGGTTTTGCTTCTCTAGAGAACCCAGCCTAAGACAGGGCACAAATATGGATCTCTTCCAGTCAGTTGACCAGGTAGCTGTCTTCCAAATTTCTTGGGATATATGAGTGAGCTCTTCAGCATTGCATCCATTTGTTGAAACATCTCCATTGGTATCCTGTCAGTTCTTGGGGCCTTTGTTTTTTGCCAGTGCCTTCAGTGCAGCTTGAACTTCTTCCTTAATCATCGATTCTTAATCATCAGCTATCTCTTGAACTGGTTGAACATCAGCCAATTCTTTTTGGTACAATGACTCTGTGTATTCTTCCATCTTCTTTTGCTTTTGATGCTTCCTGTGTCATTCAATATTTTGCCCATAGAATCCTTCAGTATTGTAACTTGAGGCTTGAATTTGCGTAAGAGCAATTGATGGTCTGTTCTGTGGTCAGCCGCTGGCCTTGTTCTGACTGATGATACTGAGCTTCTCCATCCTCTCTTCCCACAGATGTAGTCAATTTAATTCCTGTGTTTTCCATCTGGCAAGGTCCACGCGTATAGTTGCTGTTTATGTTGTTGAAAAAGATATTTCCAATGAGTAAGTCGTTGGTCTTGCAAAATTCTGTCATGAAATCTCTGGCATCATTTCTGTCACCAAGGCCATATTTTCCAAGTACCAATCCTTCTTGTTTCCAGCTTTCACATTCCAATCACCAGTAGTTACCAGCACAATCAAGATGGTAAAAGATAGCTATATTCTGATAACTTATTTTCTTTCTCATCTCCTTTTTTTGGGAGAACCTAGGAGTTGTAGAAAAGAAGTAGAAATGTGGATTTAAATAAACCATTTTCCCCCAACTGAATACTTTTAGAAGAATACTTTTTTTCTATTAGATCCATTTCACTGGGCTTGGCTTCCTCAAGCAAAAGTTCCTTTTTCGGAAGAAATAAGAAACTTGGTTCTACCATGTATTTCTGACATGAATTTTGTGCAAGATTTATGTGAAGATCTTTATGAACTTTTTAAGGTAAATAAATTTTTAGTTTTAATTATTACAGAAAATGAAATAAATCTTAAATAAGAAAGATTTTTTTAAGAAGAGCTAATTTATAATTAACTATTTCTGGTATTGCTGCTTGGTAGATGTGGTAAACAGAAAGGAATTAGAAGTTTTATTTTACAAGAATATAAATTTGTAAAATTACAGTTAATATCAGTATTCTTTGAAGTGAGAATACATTAAAATTTAGGAAGTTGTTTTGTTTAAAAGTTGAATTTTTACACAGTATAAAGTGTAATACATTTGGTGACCTTCTGCTGTCATTCACAAAAAAAAGACCAAACCTGTTCCCATGAAGTTGATTCCGACTCTTAGCGACCCTGTAGGACAGAGTAGAACTACCCTTCAGGGTTTCCAAGGAACGGCTGGTGGATTCGAACTATTGACCTTTTGGTTAGCAGCCAAGCTCTTAACCAGTCCACCACCATGGCTGTCCTTCAGTTCTCTTAAAAACCCTAAACCCATTGGCTAGAGAGTTACCTTAAATCCTTTCAGATAGAAGTTGGAGTATAAATAAAACTATTCTGGGTATTCTGAGGCATACTAAAAATACACCAGGTAAAAATACATTTTTCATGTAATTTTATCAATTAGGAAAGTCAGGTTGGGAATGTGGTCTAATAACCTATGTGCTAAGTTGAAGCATTCATTTGTTTTCAAATATTTGTTTCAGAGACCTTGATATTTGGAGTGATTGTTTTTCTTTTTCCTTTCTGTGATAGACTGACAAAGGTTTTGACAAGGCCACCTTTGAAAGTCAGATGTCTGTGATGAGGGGTCAGGTAGGCCACCTTTTTATGATCTTGTTCATTGAGGAAATAGTAGTCAACTTTTTTCCACTATGAGAAAAGAGATCCCAGAACATAAATAACGATCAGTAACTACTATTGCTGGTAAAGATTTATTTCCCTGATACGCTAAATCCTCTAGAACTTCCAGAATCTAAATTATCTATATTATAAAGTCTATTTATTAGTATGGCTTTACATTGAAACTTTTATGCTTATCACTATTAGTCTTTACAAAACCAGTGAAATGCATAGCATGTATGTTTTAGATATTATCAAGTATCTGAGGGGAGATATTCTTATTTCTAAAGTACCTAGCATCGGGATTTTTTTTCCTGATATGCAAGGAGAAAAGCAAATGAATTATTAAAATTATATTTTATCTGAACAGAGAGTAGAATAGGCTATAAGCAATGCATTGAGTTTTACAACCTTATTCATGTTTAAGTAAAAATTCCAAGAGTATCTTTAAATGTGAAATGTAAGATATTTTACTTTTCCCAGTTTTATTCTTCCTATTTAAGGGTAAACTGTTAAATAAAACTTTATTTTAATGGCTACCTTCCCCAAAGTCTCTAACCTACCTGCTCTCCTTCATGTTTTTTCATAGCACTTTCACCTTCTAATACATTGTCTAACTTATTTATAGTGTTTATGGATTCCTCCCCTTGGTAAAATGTAAACTTCATGAAGGTAGAGATTTTGTTTGTTGTTGTATCCCCAGAACTTAGAGCCTAGCATTTAGTAGTAGGCATGCAATCAATGTATTTGTTGAATGAACGGATAAGGCAAATGCTTAGTTCAAACCAGACTATTTTGACCAGTGTTTAGCTTTTATGTCAAATGGAATATGTAGAACCATTCACTTTATTCAGTTCCTGATTCCATTGCTCCTGGACACAGGTGCATCCCATAATATTTTGAAGTTACTTAATTCTAGTTTTGGGGTGTCTGTGTGTGTATGTATGTGTTGTGTATGTGTGTGTAAAACTTACTGCTGTCCAGTTGATTCCAACTCACAGCAACCAAATAGGACAGAATAGAACTGCCCCACAGGGTTTCCAAGGCTATAAATCTTTACGGAAGCAGACCGCCGCATCTTTCTCCCATGGAGTGACTGTTTGATTCCAACCACCAACCTTTCAGTTAGCATCTGAATGCTTAATTGCCACCAGAGTTCCTTAAATACATATACACGCACACACACACATATGTATTTGTTGTAGTTACTCCTCATCACAATCTCTGTTGTGCATAAATAATAAATCAAAATTGTAGTTATAAGTAAATGGTTAAAATAATGTCAGTGAATGGAAACTTTTTGTCTTTTTCAAATTGGTAAAAATGTCTCCTCTTTCCACAGATCTTGAACCTTACTCAGGCATTGAGAGATGAGAAGAGTCCCGTTCAGCTAGTACAGATGCCTTGTGTGATTGTGGAACGAAGTCAAAGTGGAGGTCAGGGTCGGATCATCCACCTCAGCAATGCATTTACTCAGACTGTTCATTGCAGGAAACCCTTTTTTTCCTCCTGGTAGCAGATGTTAAGAGTGAAAGAAGCAAATTGTTATCTCTGGGTTGGCATGATTGTGTCAGAACAATACAGTAATGTAAATCCACTGTTGAGAGCTCCCATTGCCAAAACCTCAAATAATTTAAGTCTTTAAAAGGTTATATTTTGAATGTAATCAAAAGTTTACAGTTTTTCTGTGTCCAAATATTAAATTTCTATTTCAGGGAAGAAGTGATGTATCTCCTATAGTGTATTTTTGTAAAAAAATTGTACTTTATGTTGTTGATGTTATTTTAAAAGGTAATTTTATAGTTTACACATGCTGGAATGACTGTAATTATTTTAGAATTCAAAGTAGAAAAATAAGGTATCTGTTGACTTTGAAAACAATAACTTTTTATATACTTTTTAAACATTGAGAGAATATTCATGTTAAATCTCCCTGCATTGTAATAGGCCTTTGAAGCTACCTAAGTCTGAAACTGCTCGTCTGAACTTTAATAGAGTAGTTGATAGAAAAACAGGTAAGAAGAAAGCAATGTTGCCTTAATACAAAAAGCTGCTATTTTAGAACTTGAATAAGTGGCCCTAAAAGGGTTGCTATTACAGACCAGAAAATTATATCTTGGTTAAGTAACATGAGACCATTTTCTTTTTTGTGCTTTAGAATTTTTTTGGTGAACGATTTTGTTGTAGCAGGAAAAAAAGAAAAAGAAAATCTAAAGACATCCCCTTCCCCCTTTTTTAATGGAAACACTTAATTTGGAGTTGAGGGGAATATATGAAATTAAGCTCAATCCCCAGTATTTTGAAATTCCAAAATGGTCAACATTAAAAACTCACTTTTTGTTTCTTGCATGGGATCAAATACTTGATCAGTTAAGTTCTTCAGAGTACTAATCCTGATCAATTTAGTATTTCAGTTAGTATAGTACTTCACTGAGAAGTAAACCATACCCCAAAGTGTATATCGGATTGCATTTTGAAGTCTTAGTTTGTAAGCTCTTAAAAATAGTAGTAGTGCTTTAGGCTACCTGAAATTATAGCTTTTATTATAATTACAGTCAACTTTAGATTTTCAACTCTAATTAAAGGGGAACATGACAGAGATAACCTTAAAATCATTTATATTTTTAAATTTTATTTTCGTACTTTATTTTGAATATAAGTATGTCTAACCTTCTGGGAATTTGTAGTACTTTTCACTTGCTAAATGATTTAAATTGAAATAAGCCCAAGTAAGAACATGTGATTCAAGACAAGCAGAAGGTTTGTTCTCTTCTTCAGACTCGAAGCAAATAACATCACCAGTCAGAGTAAATCGGGCATTTATGGTCTTGGCCTTTTGTTTTTTAAGCTTACTGTCTGGCGTTCTTTTTGTCTTTTGTGTTTCCTAAATTAAGTATTATTGTATAACAAGTATTTCCTGAAGCTTAAATTAGGGTAGAAGACAGATCTTGAGTTCTCCCTTCCTTCTCATCTTTCTCTTGGTCTTCATGCACGTGATGAGGAAATGATGGCACTGCTGCCCTTACGGAAGTTCATTGGAAGTCTTTGTTCTCCGACCTCCCTCTACCCCTACTATCTTCATTTCCAGATAATGGGAAATTGACTGGAAATTCGAAACTTGAACTACTATGTTGAGATAAATACTAGTAATTAAAATAAGTCTTTTGACGATGGATCTTAAAGGACATAAGTTGCTGAGGTGTGGGTATTGCTTTCATAAACAATTTTTTTCAATATTTTGAGAGTTGCTACGCGATATTAATTTTTATAGTAGAAAACCTGGTAAATTGCTACTGTTTTAGATTCTAAAATTAAATAGTATGGAAATATTTTTAGATGTTCTGACCATGCCAGAAAAGTAAAGGTCAGATATTAACATATGGTGACAAGTCAGAGTCCTTTGGTTATATTTTGTAAACTTTCCCAAACTTAATTTTTATTTAAGTATTGTGTTAATTTTTTCAATGAATATGTTTATAGTATCAAACATAGTAGGCTGAAGGTAATAAAAATCATTGTCTTAAGGCTAGATTTCTCCTGAGGTATGTTTATTGAATATTTAAAATGTTTGTGAACATATTTATAAATGATGCCAAACTACCATTTTCTTGCTTCATATGTTATTGATATAGTTTAATCCTTTGTAATTCCAAAAGATATATTTAACCGAAATGTTTATAATTGGAGATGATTTAATTCTTTTAATTACATGCTGCCTTATCCCAAAATTTGCCAGCAGTGAAGGCTGTTTGTGGAGACATGGTTTACAGACTTGAAAAAAAAATTTGATTCATAAATTTTTTTAAATTTAAAGTACTGTACTAATGGAATTAAAACCTTATTTTAAAAAATTATAATGACATGTTCTTTGATTAGATTATATCTTAAACCCTTTTATAGATATTTGAAGAGACAGGCAGAGTGTTAATGTTTTATACTCTACTTTCTTTCACAAAGTTGCCTGGGCAACTGTGCAGAGTTGTGGCAAAGATTCTTAGTGTTCCTCTACATTTCCAAGTTCATTTGGGGCCGTGCGACTGAGTTTTGGTCAATGAGATATGAGGTCAAGTGATATACTTGACTTCCAGGCCTGGCAGTAACACTCACTGCCATGATTGACCACTTTTTTGCTTTCCCATTTGTCTGTAAACAAAGAATTTGCCAAATGGAGGCAGCCAGGGCACATGAGTCACTGCTTGGAGGAGAGCTACTAGGAGAACCTTCTGACTCCATTGGACTATGATGTAAGCAAGAAATAAATGCTTGCGTTTAGCCACTAAAATTTTGAATTACTGTAGCATAGTCTTTCCTATCCTGGACATCCTATTATAATGTAAGTAGAAAAATACAAATTTTACAATAGAAGATCAAGAACCAGTTGTCAGAGGCGGAGGGCAGCAGCAGCAGTGGTTTTTAATCTCCCCAAGTCCTCATAGAACAACTAAGATAGCAAAAGAGAAAAACACAGTGATGGCATCTTTAATAAAACCAGGACAGCAACAAACATCACAGGGCAACTTTGGAGGAGCAAGTAGAGGGAAGATAAAGGGGGACAGCTGATGGTCCTAAGAACCAGAGATCCAGAATTTGCCAACACATACTCAGCCCCATAAGGAGGAGTCCCCAGTAGTGGTGGGAATCTCAGCTGGTAGATCCAAAATCCATAATCGAAACTGGGAGAGAGCTGCCCAGCATCAACTGGCAGCTAGTAAAAGGGCCTGCAGAAAAGTATGAGAGTGCTAGGGCAGTCTGGCTCTCAGGGCTCTCAGAAATAGCTAGTGAAAGGACGTAGGTCTGCACCAAGAGAAACTTGGGAATAGAACACAGATTGACAAGGGAAGGACTCTACTGGTAAAGGAGAGAAGGTTCTGATACTAGTAGAAGAAAAAAACAAATACAGGGAAACGTGTGAGAGCCAGAACCCAACAGGACTGCCTTGTTTTTCTGGGTTTCCCAAACTTTCCACTTTTGAAGGGGTTAGTCTTACCACTTTTCTTTTACTCTCTATTAGTGGAAAATACTTGAGTTTTCCTTCTCTGACAGGTTTCTGTCCTGCACAGTGTCTTAGTTATCTAGGGCTGCTGTAACAGAAATACCACAAGTGGATGGCTTTAACAAATTTATTCTCTCACAGTCTAGTAGGCTAGAAGTCCAAATTCAGGGCATCAGCTCCAGGGGAAGGCTTTCTCTCTCTATTGGCTCTGGGGGAAGGTGCTTGTCATCAATCTTCCCCTGCTCTAGGAGTGTCTCCATGCAGGAACCCTGGGTCCAAAGGATGTCCTCTGCTCATGGTGCTGCTTTCTTGGTGGTATGAGGTCCCCCATGTCCCTCTGCTCTCTTCTCTCTTACATCTCAAAAGAGATTGGCTTAAAATACAACCTAATCTTGTAGATTGAATCCTTCCTAATTAATATAACTGCCTCTTACACTGCCTTGTTAACCTCATAAAGGTAGGATCCACAACACATAGGAAAATCACATCAGATGACAAAATGGTAGACAATCACACAGTGTTGGGAATCATGGCCTAGCCAAGTTGACACAATTTAGGGGGACACAATTAAATCCATGACACACAGGTTCCAGTTTTTGAAGATTTTACTGTAGTAACTACAGAAGAGAGCCATAGAACCACAAGTCTAGGAAACTTCATACTTACCCTCACCCCCTCCACAGGAACTTCAAAAACCCACCTCACTTAAACATGACTACATCTTACAGAAGTTTCTAAGAAAACAGAGGATAAAAATCTGTATAACATATCCACAACAAATAAAGATATCCTAGAAACATATCCACAAAGCAGAATAACCCGATATTTTAAAAAAGGCTGAAAGAATTTAAAAAGTGATAGGAGATAAGAAAGAACAGCATAAAACTCATGAAATGGGTCAGCAACTGGAGGAAATAGAGCTAGTAGTCAGGAAATATTAGGGTTAAAAACGTTTCAGAAATAAACTAGAAAGAACACAAGAGGAAATAGATGCATATCCACCAAAACCTTACAGCAAACATCAGGCTTCATGTTGAAAAGTTTAAAGCTTTTACTATTAGTCTTCTATTGCTGCTATAATAAATTACGACAAATTTAGTGGCTTAAAAGAACAATTTTATTGTCTTACAGTTCTGTAGGGTAGAAGTCTGACACAGGTCTCATGGGGCTAAAATCAAGATGTTGGCAGGGATGTGTTCATTTCTGGAGGCTTTAGGGGGGAAAATCCATTTCCTTGCCCTTTCCACCTTCTAGAGACCTTGCGCATTCCTTGGCTCGTGGTCGTCTTCCTCCATCTTCAAAGCTAGCAACAGTGGGTTGAGTTTTTTTCACATTGCATCACTCTGACATTGACTCTTCTGCTGCCCTCTTACACTTTTGAGGACTTTGATTACATTGTGCCCACCTGGATAATCCAGGATAATCTCCCCGTTTTAATGTCTGCTGATAACCATCCATAGCCATAATTCCTCTTTGCCATGCGACATACTCACAAATTCTGGGGATTAGGATGTGAACATCTTCAGGGACCGTTATTCTGCCTACCACACTCTGAGATCAGTAACATGACGAGGATGCCTGCTGTCGCTATTCTTATTTAGT